TGACGTTTTTTTTTATAATTCAATGGTCGTAATCTTTGTATACCTGGTAAATTATTAAAGTCAGTGATTTTGTTACCATAAATTCCTTAAAACTGTTACTAAATTCTTTCATAAATACAAATATTTGGTTTTGATATTTGGCTGAACCTGTAGAATTCTTATTAACTTAACAAAATATCACATTCTAATTTTTTACGGAAATGTTGTTTATAAATCCCATACATTTAGATAATTTTCATGTTAACTCATTGGTCCTTTGGATAAATTTATTCTTTAAAGATATCAAGTTTACACCGTAGTAAGACCTTTGAATATTTGTTTATCGGTACTAACATTGATTTTGTTTATGATAAATTAAAAACATAACTTAATACGTATTGCTCTACATTTCTGAAACTCAAGTTCCTACATCCTGTCGATACTATGTACCTATATTTTGGCTTTGCACAAGGTCGTGCTTTTCTAAGACTGTTGATGACGTCTTTATACTAAATCCATAGGATGTGCACTGATTGATTCTTTAGATTTATTTATTGGTTACAATTGGCTTTGACTAGCTGTAAGTAAGTTCTAGTACTCTTAGATCCACTCTTTGTGTCTTTTCTTTTGTCATTATGTTAGTTGTAATTATAACATTCTAGTACTTATGGTGACATGCTGACACACTCCGAGAACCGTCTGTTAACATACTTTTGATGGTATGCTGGCAAACTCTGCGAAACCGTCTGATAACATACTTCTTATGTCAAGATGATCGACACACTTCGCCGGAACTTTCGGGTAACATACCTCTGATGGTAAGATGACAAACTACGAGAACCGTCGGATAACATACATCTGATGGCATGCTGACACACTCTGAGAAACTGTCTGGTATAACATACTTCTTATTACATGATGACACACCTCGCCAGAACCGTCGGTAACATACTTCTGATAACATGCTGGCACACTCTGAGAAACTGTCTGGTACTATACTTCTGATGGCATGCTGATACACTCTGAGAAACTATCTGATAACATGCTTCTTATGGCATGATGACACAACTCACCGGAACCGTCAGGTAACATACTTCTGGTAGTATTCTTATGACTGCATGCTGACAAACTGTTGATGAATCCTCTGGTATCAAACTTCTTATGGCATGCTGAAACACACCTCGAAGGATCAGTGGGGTAACATACTTCCGTTGGCATATTACACACTCTGCCAAACCCTCGGGTAACACGCATCTGATTGCATGCTGACAAACTCTAAACCCTCTGGTAAAATACTTATGATGCGTGCTGACACGTTCTTAAAACCGTAGGGTGACACATTTCTGATTCACTTTGATGAACCATCGGGTTATACTTATAAATGATGGCATGCTGACACACTTTAAAGATTCCTCGGGTGACATACTTCCGATGGCATGCGAAAACACTCTGACGATTCCTCATGTAACATATTTCCGATGGCATGCTGACACACTCTGAGAAACTGTGGGGTAACACGCTTCTGATGGCATGGCGATTCACTCTTAGGAACTGTCGGATAACATGCTTCTGATGGCATGGTGACACACCCTGAGGAACCAGAGAGCTAACAAACTCTGGCGAATCGTCGTGTAACATTCTTCTGATGGCATGGTGACACACTCTGAGGAACCATCAAATAACACACTCCTAATGGCATGCTGACATAAACTGAGGAGCCGTCGAGTAACACACTTTTGATGGCATAATGACTTAAACTGAGGAGCCGTCGAGTAACACACTTCTAATGGCATGCTGACATTAACAGAGGAACCGTCGAGTTACGCACTTCATATTGCATGTTGACACACACCGGGGAATCATCGAGTAACACAATCATAGTGGCATGTTGACATACACTGAGGGACCGTCGAATAACACACTTCTGATGGTAATTTGACTCACCCTAAGGAACTGTTGAGTCACACACTTTTAATGGCATGTTGACACACACTGAGGAACCGTCGAGTTACACACTTCTGGTGGCATGTTGACACACACCAAGGAACCGTCGAGTTACACAATTCTGATCGCATGTTGACACTCTCTGAAGAACCGGCGTGTATCATAATTATGACGGCACGGTGACAAACTCTGACGAACCATCGACATTGGTTGTTAATGTCTATTTATGCCTTTCCATTGAAAACATGCGTTAATTTTTGTGATATATAAATATTTCTATCTCAATGGCATTTATCTCGCATCCACAGGTGTTTTAGGCATGGACCCTCCTTTTCTGTGTTTAAGTTTTTTTCAGTAAAGGAGACTTGAAGGTATGATAATATAAAAATAAGAGATGTGGTACGATTGCCAATGAGACAACTCTCCACCTGCGACCAAATGACAAAGAAGTTAACAACTATAGGTCACCATACGGCCTTCAACATTTAGCAAAACCATACCGCATAGTCAGCTATAAAGGGCCCCGAAATGACAAATGTAAAACAATTCAAACGAGAAAACCAACGACCTGGTTTATGTACAAAACAATGAATGAAGAAAAAATATGATATACAGCCACAAACGACAACCACTGAATAAAAGGCTCCTGACTTGGGGTACATACAGAATGTGGATGATTAAACACGTTTGCAGGCGCCCAACCCTCCTCAAACCAGGGACAGTGGTGTTACAGCACAACATATGAACAAACTATAAAAATAAGTTAAAAAGGGCTTAACTCATCAGATCGATACAAAGCAGAAAGACAAGTAACAAAAACACAGACCGGAAGTGACAGGATATTTAAACAACAAAAAAGACACTAGGTACAAATATGAGAGCATATAAGCATTTACTGATAGCTAGTTCAGAGCAAATAACAACTCATACAAAAAAAGTGTATCTAAGACTAAAATACCAATCAGTTCACATCCAACATCCAATGGATTTAGTGAAAAGACGTCATTAGCAGTCAGAGAAAAACATGACCTTGTGCAATGCCAAAATTAAGGTATCGGCAGATTGTAGAACCGTGAATATTCATACATGTATGAACATGTATATAACAATAATATTATTTTGGTTTTAATTTACAAAATCAATATTTATACCAATAAAAACAATATTCTAAGACCTTATTACAGTGTTGAATTGGAAATGATAAGGCCATTTTGCCCCTTGAATTCGAAACTCAAAATTATTATAAATCTGCCATATAACATCCTTTGGATGTTTATAAAACATTAATCTGTCAGATATCAGTACTGTTTTTAATAAATAACTGTAGGTTTGTTATCTCAACCTTTTTGCTATTTCAAGCTTCACAATATTAAACAAACACAAATGAGTATATGGCCATTTCCCCTATATTTGTTTCACTCACAGGGTCAAAATCTAAAAGTCGGGTCAAATTCTTCTGGAAATTGATTATCAAAAAGCCTATATCATATATCTAAAATAACGTTTCACAATTTTTCTTATAATTATAAAATCAAACAGGTATTCAGTTATTAACAGACTGCTGTTGATGGTAGTTTTATACTAATTTTCATCGTCAAATTTTGCATTGAAGGGCATCACTGATTTGTATTTGAAAGACAATACATAACTTTACTTCAAACATATTTTTGGTGTTGGTTAATGAAGTCTTTCTTGTACATTTTTTGGGAAAATTAAAAAAAAATGCCAAAATCTCTCAAAATTGCGGCTTTAGGCATTCTTTGAGCGTTCATTATTTGATGACCTGTTTACAACTAAGCAAAAATACTGTTAGGACCTTAAAGTACACATAACTCTGAATTTTTGTAAAGATTGAAATAATTTTTGTAAATGCCCTTGGTGAGGAATTTGAAAAGTGCTTAACTCACATTTAGTCTGAAAAATAATAAAATGATAGAATCTGATTCGCAAAAAGATACAAAAGACATATTAACACAAGTGAACATACACTGAACGAATAAATTTGATCTATGATACAATGTAAATACAAAATCAATAAAATAAGGGGTGAATAATTAAAGTAACAGTATTATACCGCTGTGAAATGTTAAACAATTTCAGAAAAACAACAATAACCTTAAACAAAAATCCGCCATTTACAATAATATTATACACAGGTATGGTAAAAAATCTTACCAAATGATGTTAACGGTAAAATGTACATTTCCTTTATGACGATAAAAATCGACTGATTTTGACGAATCACGTTGTTTTTTTTCCAAAAATTACGGTAACGAATAATTATTTGAGACCTCTGACTTATCACGATAAGGATATTTTGAAGAATCACGTTAAAATTTTAACCAATTTGAGGTTATTAAACGGTAGCCGAAATGACCGTTTGACGCCTGACGGTAATTTAAAAAGGCATTCCTAACCTCTTCAGTGCACTGATGACAGACTCATTGTAGAAACATATGTTTACAATCGAAATATGTCATTATGACCACATCGTTTACGGATAATTAAATTGGTCATAATCGTTAGATTATACTGCAAAAACGGCGGCATTTCCCCGACAAAGTTGCGATCTGCTGATCTTAGAAAAGAGGGACGAAAGATTCCAGAGGGACAGTCAAACTCATAGATCGAAAACAAACTGACAACGCCATGGCCAAAAATAAAAAGACAAACAGACAAATAATAGTACAGATGACACAACATAGAAAACTAAAGACTAAGCAACACGAACCCCACCAAAAACTGGGGGTGATCTCAGGTGCTCCGGAAGGGTAAGCAGATCCTGCTCCACATGTGGCACCCGTCGTGTTGCTTATGTTATTACAAATCCGGTAAATAGTCTAATTCGGTAAGTCACATTCGTGAAAAGGGAAAGGTATTGTAGTTACGACATAAGGAACATATCCGATATCATCTGTGAAACGGTTATTCCATAACGGTCAACCAACTCGTGATGGCGTCCGTAAAATTTATGTTCCGAGATCTTTTGGTCCGAGATTATCTGATAATTGAGGCCGAGGTTAAATTTATATGCATCTAAATCTCAACTGCGCTTTAAACTCGAAGAAAATATTTGACACATCAAACTACTTTATTACATTGAATATTTTTCGAGCAAGGAGCAAGGAGGAAGCATGGCATTTGATTTAGGAGGATTGGTAAGATAAAAAATAGCATTTGGATCAACTTGAGTAGAGACAAAGACAGTCTGAAAGTCGAGAATAAAATTTTCTCTCAAAGTCCAGCCCAAAAAAGCGTAATGACATAGGAGGAAGGCGACAAAGCAAACACTTAAAAATAGCCTGTATTAAAAAATAAATTATGTAGGATTAAACTTTTTTCCTTTCCAGTTTTCCTCATTAAGACCATTTTTTAAGATTTGAACAGATTTTTGACAAATTGTATGAACAGTTTCTGTTGACAGACTATTCTATTGATCAATGATTCTCTGGACATGCTCAAATGATTGTTTGTTTCCCCTAACCCTGTCATGTCAATTCTTTTCCCCCCTTTGTTTGGCAGATGAAAAAAGTGTTGCTTTGGTTTCTATTGACAATTTTCAATGATGCTTTTGAAAAGTTGTCTGATAATCCATGTGATTATCCATAGGACACTAGGGCGCATGCGTGGAGGAAAGACGTTCATTTTTGACAGCTCCAATACTCACCAAAAATTACAGGTTTTCTACAAGTTCAATTTGTCCATACTTCAATATTTTTGATCCTTTTTGATAGATAACCCACTACAAATCACTTATAGTGAATGTACATTGTATTTATCAGTTTTAACAAAATAAATCTTTTTTTGTTTCTAAGGCCGCCATAGGCGGTCACATGACAAGAATAAAAGTCACATGATCAAACCGGAAGTTGACAAAAGAAAACAAAACAAGAAAATATTCTGAACGAAAATAACAACACTCTGTTGCTTTTCCTTCATACTAACATGGCTATTTCAATTTCCTGTGCTCTTTGGTAGCCGAAGAGACGAAGATAAAGTGAACAAAGGTATAATATATTAAAAATTTAACATATTTTATTGTACAAAATAAAAATGAGACCTTACTATACTTTACTGATCACCTCTTTAATATTGCTCATATGCCATCATGCAAACTTTAAAACCATCTTTGACAAAGAGGAGCATGAACACACACATGATCAGAAAACACACAGCTCAATAACAAACTTAGGGAGCCTGAAATTAAAAGTAAACAAATGCAGACCAGTAAATAAATATTTATTCATAATTCTACTTGCAAATGCCTTCGATACTGAAACAAACCCAGGGCCAAGATGGCCATGCGGTACTTGTAACAAAGCAGTTACCTGGAAACATAAAGCGGTATGTTGCGACAGCTGTGATACCTGGTTCCATATTAACTGTCAAGGTATACACTCAAATATTTACAAATTTATGGATGCAAGCAACATCTCGTGGGAGTGCTTACAATGTGGTATGCCAAATTTTTCAACATCATTATTTAACTCCACATACTCAATCGATACAGAAAATCAGTATTCTGATCTCAGTAAATGTTCAGACTTAAGCAGCCCAGGTGTACCAAATGCAACATCATCACCTATAGATTTACCGGTACATAAAAACAACAAGGGTTCACAACAGAAAAAGCAAAAATCCAAAGTAAGAAAACCAATAAGAGTAATCAACATAAATTTCCAATCACTTTGCAATAAAAAACCTGATCTATTAGAAATAATCAATTCATGTAAACCAGACATTATCATAGGTACAGAAACATGGCTAGACAAGTCAATACCATCAACTGACTTTTTTCCAAGCAACCTGTACAATGTATACAGAAATGATAGACCAACAAACAACAAAAACCAAAGCCATGGTGGTGTTTTAATAGCTATCACCAAAGAGTTTATTAGTTCTGAAATTGTAGAACTTAAAACAGATTGTGAGATAGTATGGGCAGAAATAAACATCTCTGGCACAAAAAAGATCTGTGTTGGTAGCTACTATAGACCCCCATCAGATAAAGGTACATCTTTGGAACAACTTAACATCTCCTTGAATAGACTAGATAATACAACAACCACAAATATATGGTTAGGAGGGGACTTTAATCTTGGACACATAGACTGGTCAATACCAGCATTCATCTTAGGCAAACCAGATGCTAAACAACATCAGCTTTTACTAGACATAATATCAAATCACCACTTGCACCAAGCCACAGACAAGCCAACACGTAAAGATAGAATATTAGATCTCATTCTAGTAAACAATCCAACTAGCATCAATAAACTTAACACACTACCACCGATTGGCTCAGCAGATCACGATATAGTCTATGTAGAAATGGACACCTGGCTTAAAAGAGTAAGAGAAACACCAAAAAAAATACTTAAATACAAAGAGGCAAACTGGAACATCATTAAAAATGACCTTACTACAACACTTAACACCATCAATAACTTGTATGACTTGAGTGATGCAGATACATTATGGAACACCTTCAAAAACGATCTTCTCAAATCAATAGAGTCAAATGTACCTCACAAAATGCTCACATACAAGCATAGACTACCTTGGATAAACAACAACCTAAGGAAACTCATTAACAAGAAAAATAAGTGTTATAAAAACAGAAATGAAAACCCTTCGAAATACAAGAAACTAAAACAAACAGTCCAAAAAGAGCAAAGGAAGGCATACTGGAACTACATAGAACAAATTATTTGTGATTTACCAATCAATGAACCGGACCAACATCAGTCCACAAACACAAAACCAAAAAAGCTATTTCAGTTCATCAAAAGCACTAGAAATGATAATACAGGAATTGCGCCTCTGAAAAAAGAAGGCATACTTGTAACAGACACTACTGAAAAAGCAGACATTCTTAATCAACAATTTCAGTCAGTATTTACTAACGAACCGCCAACTAATATTCCTGATAAGGGTCCAAGCCCATACACAAAAATGCCAGAAATAAAAATCACAACACCAGGTGTCGAAAAATTGTTACATAAACTAAATCCACATAAAGCAAGTGGTCCAGATAATATCAGTGGACGGGTTTTAAAAGAACTAAAAGTACAAATTGCACCTATCCTTAACACCATATTTACCAAATCTCTGAAATCAGGAAAAACACCAAAAGACTGGAAACATGCAATTGTTGCACCAGCATTTAAAAAGGGCGAACGATACAAGGCTGAAAACTATAGACCAATTTCACTCACTTGTATTTGTTGTAAATTAATGGAGCACATTGTGACAAGTAACATCATGAACTATTTGGAGGCAAATAACATACTCTACGATCTCCAACATGGTTTCCGAAAATCGAGATCATGTGAATCACAACTCATTCAATTTATACAAGAACTTCATAACAACAACAGCAAAAATATACAAACAGACCTCATTATTATGGATTTTGCCAAAGCCTTCGATAAAGTACCCCACAAACGTCTACTCTACAAACTTAAATTCTATGGCATTCAAGATAACACTCTAAAATGGATTCAGGCTTTCTTATCAGACCGTACACAAACAGTGGTTATAGATGGAATAACATCAAATACAGCACCAGTTACATCAGGCGTACCCCAAGGAACTGTCCTTGGGCCTATACTCTTTTTAATTTACATTAATGATTTTCCAGAATATCTTGAACACAGCAAATTACGACTCTTCGCTGATGATAGCATTATATACAGAGAAATTACATGTCAACAAGACTGCATAAAACTACAAACAGATCTTAATGCAGCAGCTAAATGGGAGGCTGATTGGCTCATGGCCTTCCATCCAGGAAAATGCACAATTTTAACCATCACACAGAAAAAGAAACCATTCAAACACGATTACATTCTGCATAACCATATTTTAGAACCAGTAACATCAGCAAAATATCTCGGCGTAACCTTACAGTCTAACTTAAAATGGAACAATCACTACGACAACATCATATCAAATGCAAATAAATCTCTTGGCTTTCTGAGGAGAAACTTAAAAGTATCAGACACCAATATCAAATCTCGTGCATACCAATCCATAGTGAGACCAAAACTTGAATATGCATGTAGTTTATGGGATCCGCACACATCAGAATATAAAAATAAGCTAGAAATGGTACAGAGGCGTGCAGCCCGTTATGTATGTAACAACTACCACAACACCAGTAGTGTTACATCCATGCTAAACGAACTACAATGGCCCTCACTAACTGAGCGTCGCCTCAAAACCAGACTAATCATGTTCTATAAAGTAATACATGGACTCATCGCAATTCCATCACTAGTCCTTATACCATCAGATACTAGAACAAGAAAATCACATACCCAAACATTTCGGCAAATATCCACCTCTAAAGACAGTTACAAATGGTCATTTTTTCCGCAAACAATCATCCAATGGAACATGTTACCACAAGTTGTAGTAGCATGTCAAACAATTGAAACCTATAGAGATCAGTTGACACCAACTGTTCTCCACAACATAAATTAACTCTATAAATACCAATGTACATATTTTTAATCACTTGTTGTCTTTGTTTCATGTAAATATCACCAAGTATTCTACAAATTTAAAGATAAATTTTTGTTCTATATAATTTTAAACAATATACTCCGCGCATGCAACAGTTCGTAATCTTCAATATAAATGAAGCTGTAACTGTATATCAGAAGAAGAAGAAGATCTCTTTATATGTTTTTCATCATTGCTCAATTATTATATATTCCTTTAGTTTCACATAGCTTATACCATACTATAGAATGTAAAACAAGAAGAAACTGTGGGGTTAATGACATTCTCTGTAGAGTGAAAACAAAAAACTGAAATAAATAGTTTTTCCTGTGTGTCAGGTCTTAATAAAATTCACATTTTAGCTACATTTAGGGGAAACCAACATTAATTTTTCCATGGTCTCTGTGAAAAAGTATGAAAACATTGAGTTGAATTAGAGCTTCTTATTTAGTTTCCAAGGATGATATCTAGTAGAATTTGCAGACAATTCAAACATATTTTGCCATTTAATATTTTCTATCATGTGTAAAGCTTTATCATGTTTATAAATTATACACTTATAACATATCATAACGATCTCTTCGGTATTCAAGTGTTGGTAGGCCTAAGGTTTTCAATCTCTGCATAACTGCCCTGAGGTATTCTGCTGCTATTAATCCTGCTCTAGATCCAGTACACTAATAGCCCCAAAAAACTGGTGAAGAACCCAAAATTTGATACATGTAGATAGTATCTGTAAACTCTTAATTTATATGATTTAATACAACTTGGATTGATTATAACTATTATAATTTAAGATACATGTATATGTCACTTTTACTCAACAGAAGAGTTTCCAATTTTGGTTTTATGAATGAACTACACAGTTTGTTGTGGGGTAACTTAGAAAAAAACATTATAGGACATTGTGATGTGAAGATATTTGCATTGTGACGTCAAATTTTTTGAGAAAAAGCACCTGTTGAACGAAACATTGGAAGATCATGAATGTATTAATTAAAATAATTTAACTTAAGGAATACGACTTTTGTTCCTTGTATATCAATATGGCAAATGTAATTGTTAGATAGAGTTATCTACCTTTTGAATAATTACATCTGCCATACAGTTACTTTTTGAGAAACTTTTCACAGAAGTAAGTTAGCTGCAGAACCATAGCTCTTAGGTCCTTATGATATTTTTTGACAGTTTTCTATGGTCCGCAAATTGTCAAAAAATATACGGTTCCGCAGCTAATAAGTATGTGTGCTTATGTATGTCTAAAGAGTAACTGGATCAATACTTTCTAAAATTTATACGCTTTAAAATTAGAGTCTCAAATAAGTGAGATTATAAATTAAAATATTATTTCTTACAAATTGTATTTGTAAATGATCACTGTGACCACTATATTATTGTACATGTACAATTAAATAGGGAAATATGTTGAGAGGGAATCCCTGACTGCATGTTTTGTGGGGTGCCCATTTGACCAGGTTTGACTGTATGTTTTTTATGATTGGGCATTGCTAGATTTAGCTAAAAAGCTCAAACTGCAAATACACAAAAGCGGATGAAAATAGGGTCTTATTGGTTGATTACTTACAATGTATGGTACAGTGGCAAATATTACTTGCATTTCAGGACAAAAGCAACAATTCAGCTAGGTTTGTAGTGAAAAGTAATAATACAACCTTTAACTCATTGTCAAAGGCCGTACAGTGACCTATAGTTGTTAAACTTCTATGTCATTTGGTCTCTAGTGGAGAGTTGTCTTACTGGCAATCATACCAGATCTTCTAATTTTATATTTAATGAAGGATGGAATGTTGTATAAATGTCACACTAAAAGCCATGTTTATGTAACAAATGTAGTACATTTTTGTACTAGTTGACTAAGATAATAAAATATTGAGTAATACTTTGATTTATTAAAATTGATTTTAAGTTTTAAAAAATTGTCTTATTCAGACCCCAAGATTTTTTATCTACTTATAATGTTCTGTGGGTGAATGTCTCATTGACTTCTTACCAATATATATTTTATTCATATAAAAACAAATTATTAAAATCTACAAATTTTGTACCTGTACTTTAGACTACCTTTTCATAAAACATTAATGGATGTTTTCTTTTTTTCATATTAAATTTTACTGTACATGTTATTGAAAGAAATCAAGTGTTACATGGTTATATTGTCGTGAGTATGTCAGTGTTCAAATAATTCATGTCTTTTTTTTGTCTTACAGAATGCAAGCCAGCTTCAGTCAGCATCAAGTGTTTTATCTTCAGATGCATCTAAATATGAAAACAGGGTAATTTTAATTTATTGTGACTATATCAGATGTACATGTATGGTGTGATCATTCAAATTGGAGAATATTTAAGGAATTACTTGGGCTGTAATGAGTGTTTTAGGGCAAGGCATTATCAATTTAGTTATAGGCTGAGAAATCTGTGATTCAGCTATTAGAAAAATGGACAAGTATGTCGTGTATGAGGGTAATATTTAAATCACAAATGTTTAGTTTGGTATATATATATATAATTCGTCTATACTGACATAAAATAAATAGTAAGATTAGTAATCAAGTTAACAGTTCAATCGATTTCATCCTTCCATTGGGACTCTTCAGGATAATTGTATCAGGAGCTATCCTGAAAAGTCCCAATGGAAGGATGAAATCGATTGAACTGTTAACTTGTTTACTTATCCTATTATTTATTTTATGAAAATATACATCTGCACATTTAAACTTTTTTTTTACGCCTTTATATATATATATTATATATACATGTATATATAAACAAGTCTAAATTGAAAACAACGTTCAAACCTATGATTGCGTTGGATAAAAACCGCAATTTTTATACGTGTGCATGCAAAACAAATTTCTTGGTAGAGGGGTCTAAATACAGCACAAACAACATTTTCCAAAAGACCAAATGAGTGAAAAAGTATATTTTAACAAAACGCATTTGACTAGCAGGTCGAACAACTGAAGTTCTTAAACCCTGCTGAATGCCATTGGCGATTGCCAAATAAAAGGATCACAAACGTAACAAAATAGATCTTATTATTAATTTATTACCAAACAGAAAACAATAAACTTGCGAAAAAGATGGTATACCGCAACCATGAGGTGCAATATATATATATATATACTTTTTAAAATGAGGATGATTAAATTGTCCATCTTGTGCTAATTTTCAGAAAATAATAGCGTTGTAATGTAATAGTCTCAAAAATAATAGCATTGTAATGTAATATTCTCAAAAATAATAGCATTGTAATGTAATATTCTCAAAAATAATAGCACTGTAATGTAATATTCTCACAAATAATAGCATTGTAATATAATATTCTCAAAAATTATAGCACTGTAATGTAATATTCTCACAAATAATAGCATTGTAATATAATATTCTCAAAAATTATAGCACTGTAATGTAATATTCTCACAAATAATAGCATTGTAATATAATATTCTCAAAAATTATAGCACTGTAATGTAATAGTCTCAAAAATAATAGCATTGTAATGTAATATTCTCAAAAATAATAGCATTGTAATGTAATATTCTCAAAAATAATAGCATTGTAATGTAATATTCTCAAAAATAATAGCACTGTAATGTAATATTCTCACAAATAATAGCATTGTAATATAATATTCTCAAAAATTATAGCACTGTAATGTAATATTCTCACAAATAATAGCATTGTAATATAATATTCTCAAAAATTATAGCACTGTAATGTAATATTCTCAAAAATAATAGTATTGTAATATAATATTCTCAAAAATTATAGCACTGTAATGTAATATTCTCAAAAATAATAGTATTGTAATATAATATTCTCAAAAATTATAGCACTGTAATGTAATATTCTCACAAATAATAGCATTGTAATATAATATTCTCAAAAATTATAGCACTGTAATGTAATATTCTCAAAAATAATAGTATTGTAATATAATATTCTCAAAAATTATAGCACTGTAATGTAATATTCTCACAAATAATAGCATTGTAATATAATATTCTCAAAAATTATAGCATTGTAATGTAATATTCTCACAAATAATAGTATTGTAATATAATATTCTCACAAATAATAGCATTGTAATGTAATATTCTCAAAAATAATAGCATTGTAATATAATATTCTCAAAAATAATTAATTAGAGAATTGCCAATCTATGGTAATCTACATGTATATCCTAATTTTGATTATACTCTTGTATTATACAAAAAATAGGTAGAGTATTATTTTATTTTCAGGAAGAACTTGAATTTGAATGGGCTAAAAAAGCTTATCACCATGCTGAAACATATTTTAATGTAAGTTTGGATTATTTTATAGACAAGAATTTCATTTACATGTTAAAAATGTACTGGTATGTTTCCAAATGTTTGTAGTTAACAGACTTAACTGCTTTTAAAGGAAATTAATTGCTTATCTTACAAAAATACAAATACCAGCAATAATTTGTTATAATAACATTAATGTATGTTTCATTAGAATCTGTAATTTTGATTGGCTGACATCAATCGCGAGGCTTTCCAACATGTCCAATACCATATTTTATTTCCGTATAAAATACAAAACCTCTTGACTGCATATGTTATCCCTGACCTTGTTTTAATAATGCATTGAAAAACAAACGAAAAGCTTGATTTTACTCTTAATTCCATAGTTGTAGCAAAAAAATGTAACTATAAGGATTGAATGGTTCTTTTTAGAATTTTATAGATTTGTAAAGGCGTTGAAATTGCACACATTTTTAAATGAAAGATGCTATTAACCTTTGAGAGGTGAATTGAACCAGCCTAGAAAATGTTTATAGCTTAAGATTATGCATTGAAATCACAAAAATAATTACCTGTGGAAATTTCCATATTTACAGAAAAATATATTATTTATAGTTTAAAGCAAATGTTTGAATCGAAAATATTTCTTTTGTAGAAAAATTTTATTATTTTTTTTCAGTTGATCAGCTCTGTAAATCCAGCGATATTGAAACTAACAAAAATAGACACAGACATTTATACACATTTTCGTGATGAGTTTCCAGATTTTAAAATTGATGTTATTAATATTGAGGAAATGAAATCAGCAGAAGGAAAAGAGGTTTTTATATATCATTCTTTTTTATCTGATATTAAAACATGTATAGTAGATATTCAGATTATCTAGATGAAAAGATGTATAGAACATGTAGATATTCAGATCAGTTAGATGAAAACATGTATAGTAGATATTCAGATCATTTAGATGAAAACATGTATAGTAGATATTCAGATCAGTTAGATGAAAATATTCAGATCATTTAGATGAAAACATGTATAGTAGATATTCAGATCAGTTAGATGAAAACATGTATCTTAGATATTCAGATTAATTAGATGAAAACATTTATACCGTACCTTGACCTATAATTGTTTACTTTTATAAATTGTAACTTGGATGGAGAGTTGTCTCATTGGCACTCATACCACATCTTCCTATATCTATATAGTAGATATTCAGATTAGTTGGATGTGGCTGTGAAGATTTTTATTTAATTGTATAGACTATTATTTTCTCTCCTTGCCCAAAGGACCCCCATGAAAATCCTGCCATTATGATTACTAACTGTCAATTGCCCAACATGAAGTTCTCTAAAATCTTGTTTGAGACCTTTTTACAAATCACATGTAATTGGAACCTTGGGCTGAATCTTTCCTCTTGAGTTTATTTTAAAACTTTATACAATAATTCCTTGACTAACCAACATGGTTATCATTACTATTAATAGAACATAAGACTAAAACATTAATTCTGATCCTTTTCTATGCAGTAATATTAAGTATTGGCTGATACCTGACTTGGGACAGGCATATAATGAATGTGGTAGGGCTATACATGTTTGTGAGCACTCAACCATTTTGCAGTGCAAATGGCACTGTAACATTTTTTTAAATGCATTTTTTCACATTAGAAAGTGCTCTTTCAGAAATTCAAATTTTCCATCTATCCATCAGTCTGTCCATTATCTTTTTGAAACTTCTGAAACTGCATGAACCAAACCCCACTACTATCAACCATAAGTATAAAAATAAGAAGATGTGGTATGAATGCCAATTAGAAATTTTGCTTATACACAAAAAAAAAAGATCCACATGTATTTGCACCTACCACAATCGACTGTTTTGTGAAAATTTGTTTTTAATTTAAAAGTTTACAAATATCTTGAAGCTCCATACTATAATTAAAACAGGTAAATAAGTTAATAAGATGCATAAAATCCTAAAATGTGCACCTACAATAAACTTTTAAAGTCCATAGAAACAGATGTAAACAATCCAATATACCAACTTACCCAGTAGCTTTTTTTACCTTCTCTAGTAAAGAGTCCCATCTCTTTCGTTTAATTTCAACTGGGTATCAGCCTGATTTAGACTGTGGCAGGGTTAAACATGTTTGCTGGCACCAAACCCTCCCCCTAACCTGGGACAGTGGTGTAACAGTACAACATAAGAACAAACTATGAAAATCAGTTGAAAAGGGCTAAACTTATAAGCCAATAATAACTAATAAATAAATCATGTATCTAAGACTAAAATGAATAACTATACAATATATAGCATTTTACTGTGGAAAAAGTTAGATTTGTCTCCCTTTTATAACAAATTATACTTAGTTGAGTTTGTGAATACAAGTTCTTTAAGATGTTGCCAATTTAAGCATTAAAAATTAGAAATTAGAATGTTAAAAAGTTCATATTCTTGAATATTTGAAAGAAAGATCAGATGGTTTCATTTTCTACTAATTGTTTTTTTTTTTTCAGAAATGGCGCTCATTTTGTGAGATTTACAAAGAAAAGGTTGAAGATTATAACATGGGATCATTACTTAGAACTGATTGTACACAAGATTATTCTGAAGAAAATTCATTTTTAGGTAAAATATTTTAGTATGGCACACTTCCCATAACAACGTCACAGCAATGCATAGGAACTTTATATAACTCGTTTTTTCATGGTTGTAGCATTTATATGTAATTATAAGAATTGAATGCTTTTTTGTTATTTTATAGAATTATAAAAGTGTTGACTGCACACTTTTTTAGTATGAAGCACTTATTCAAAAGGTCAATGCTTTTACACCCCAATAGAATAACAAAAAGAAGTATTCAATTCTTCAGTACATTACAAATTACTTCTCATGGTTATATGTAGAGCTTGAGATGAACAAATCACTTCTCATGGTTATATGCAGAGCTTGAGATGAACAAATTACTTCTCACTGTTATATGCAGAGCTTGAGATGAACAAATTACTTCTCATGGTTATATGCAGAGCTTGAGATGAACAAATTACTTCTCATGGTTATATGCAGAGCTTGAGATGAACAAATTACTTCTCATGGTTATATGCAAAGCTTGAGATGAACAAATTACTTTTCATGGTTATATGCAGAGCTTGAGATGAACAAAGTACTGTTTTTTGTCTCGCCTTAACGGAGTCAAAAAGCGAGACATAGGTATGCTGTTTCCGCCGGTGGCGGTGGCGGTGGCGTCAACAATGTTTTAGTTTGTGATTAGGTCTAGTTCATGATGAACCACTAGTGGTAGGTCAATTATATTTGGTATGCAGTTGTATTAGCATTGGCACATTTCATTGCCATGGAGATTATTTGGTCCCGCCCCCTCAGTCAAGGTCTATTAACTTTGAAACTTTTCATAGTTTACATGTATTAGTTTGTGATTAGGTCAGTTTATGGGGAACCACTAGTGGTAGGTCAATGATATTTGGTATGTAGTTGTATAAGCATTGGCAGATCTCATTTCCATGGAGATTATTTGGCTCCTCCCCTTAGTCATGGTCTATAGACTTTGAAAATTTTGCTAAGTTAACATGTATTAGTTTGTGATTAGGCCAGTTCAAGGGGAACCATTAGTGGTAGGCCAATGTTAATTGGTGTTCAGTTGTATAAGCATTAGCACATCTCATTTCCATGGAGAATATTTGGCCCCGTCCCCTCAGTCATGGTCTATTTACTTTGAAACTTTTGCTTAGTTTACATGTATTAGTTTGTGATTAGATCAGTTTAAGATGAACTGTTAATGTTAAGTCAATGATATTTTGTATGCAAATTTATTGGCATTTGCAAGTATGGTTTCCATGGAGATTATATAGCCCAACCACTGATCATGGTTCATTGACTTTGAAACTTTTACATAGTTTACAAGTTAATGTTTGTGTTTAGGTTTGTTTAAAGGGAACAACGTATGATAAGTCAATGGTATTTGGTATGCAGTTGTATTAGCATTGGCACATCTCATTCCATGGAGATTGTTTAGCCATGCACCTTCAGTCATGGTTCATCGACTTTGAATATTTGTATAACTTACATGTTAAAGTATTGCTATTTTAATTTCAACATTTGCATTATCAAAATTACAAAAAGGCGAGACATATTTCTGTGATAACAGTTTATTTATATTGACATCTGGATTGTATAACTACAGTGACTTATTTAAGTTTTCATCAGATTAAATAAGAAATATACAACACTCATATCTGTTGTAAAGGCAAATCATTTCTGTTCAATGTATTTTAGAAACATATTTTATCAAATATAAGGAATAGTGTCACTGTGCAAAAGGAATTTTATTGAAATTTATTTTTAATACATGTTGTATGTCTCTTATTGTTGGGGGGAAAACACAGATCACTCTCTATTTTTTAAGATGATGCAGAATTTTAATTTGAAATTAATGAAGTTTATGACAGAAAGTTTATACACCATTTTAATAATCAACTACCACCTACCAACTTTTGACATGCTATTTGCCCGTAAATTGGGAAGAGAGAGTTTGAACAGCTACTAAATTTTATCGTGTCTTGGTATAGGTTATTTTATTTGTAGTCTTATCTATAATTTCATTTTTTTTTACAGTTGTAAGGATACAGTTTTTAGCAGTTGAAATAGCCAGAAATCGTGAAGGACTGAACTCTAATTTAAGACATAAAAAAGAAACATCATGACACAGCCTGTTGTTGTGAGGACTATGTGTAATAAGGACAGAAAGACTCTTTGATTGCCCTAAAACTTCTTTCAGTTGAAGCTACCTGTGTTTTAGATCAAATACTAAAGGAGATATATATCTTTATAAATGGTACACATCACCCTTATTGTATAAAATAGTGCAGATTAGTAAAAGATACAGATCACTTGATTCAAAGTGTTCAGTGAAGATTTGAATCATTGGGTAAAATTAATATGCCTTTCTGATTTAAGGTAGCACAATACAAAGATTTTATACCTCCAACTCCCCAGTTTTAAAATGCTGTAACTTTCTTTATAATGCTTGAAAATTTATAAAAGTGGTATTTATGGATAGCTAACAGATTACTCTTTCAAATTAATGCAATGTTAGTATTATACAACTATTATGTAATTAATTATAATTTTAACTGTGTCTAAAAAAATTTACAAGAATTTTCCACTTTCAATTGAAATTAGCTTCTTCATGGATACCCCGAGAGGGTTGATTTTATAATATGTTGTCCTAGAGCCATTATCTACAAAAGGGTGTCTCAGATTTTGGATAGAATGTATAGATCAAATTTTACACCTAATCAAATAATCTCTACTTTTATGTGGTAAGGATGTTTACACTAATTACAGATTTATGAGAAAATGGAATACGATAGCGATAATTTGAGACACCCTTTTATAGCTCCTGCTGTGTTGATTAAGATAACGTTAAAATTTCTTGTGTAGTTATAGAGATGTCAGAGCTAAATTCATTCAAGTGAACTGACCAAGATTTTGCCATTAATTGCATAATAATTGATTACTTAATGATTGCATAACAAAAATATTGCATTCATTTAAAAGATTAATCTTTTATCTATCTATATATACCTCTTTTATTAATTTGTTTGCAGTCATAAGAAAGTACCATCATTTTAAAGGTTGGAGATTGGAAGTAAAAAAATCTTTGTATTGTGCTACCTTAATAAAGTTACAATTTGACTGTTTTAATACAGATTTTGGGCTTTTGATGTAATTATTTGTTGATTTCTGAATATATTACTGCCGTATGCTTTATATGAAAAATGTGAAGTAAAATTTCTTGTTATTTCTCCATATGCTTTTATGCCCTGCTACATATGTGTCTGGAACACATTGTATATCAGCCAATATGTTATTGAGTTGTTTCTGAAATTTCTATAATATTTTATGAAGTGTTTAACTATGTTTATTGTCTTGTATATACATTATAGTTCTATATCATTTAAGCCATCATGACATACACTTCAAATTTGAAATTATTGTAAAATTTATGGTTAAAATTTTGTGATTAATTTCTAAGCAGACAATAAAGATACATTGTGTAAACCAATATTATGTCATAATAGGCCTTAATTGGAAAGATAAATCTGTGGATGTACTGTAGCAAATGTTTCAAAACTTTGCATACTGTACATGCAGAAATTATTGCAATTTTTTTAAAGTACAAAAATGTGAGGTTTCTATTTGTGATTTCAGGATAATCTGCATACAGTTATATGTATTGGATATCAGAATGTAACTTCCTCTTATCGCAATACTCACCCAGTCAAAATATTTGCATCAATAAAACAGAAACTCTATTTCATAATTTCAAGTTAACATTTCTATGGTTTATGGTTTTTATGTTAGTTGTTTTTGTGCCTTGTACTGATATTTTTAAATAAGCCAATTGCTACCGATTATTTTAGTTTGTTCTTATGTTGTACTGGTACACAACTGTCCCAGGTTAGGTGATGGTTGACCGCTCACCAACATGTTTAACCCTGCCACATTCTTTATGTGCCTGTCCCAAGTCAGGAGCCTGCAGTTCAGTGGTTGTCGTTGGTTCATGTCTGTAATATTTGTTTATTGTAAATTGTTTTGTTATGAATTAGGCCGTTAGTTTCTTCGTTTGAATTGTTTCACATTTTTCATGTCGGCCCTTTTATAGCTGACTATATGGTATGGGTTTTTATTCTCATTGTTGAAGGCTGTACAGTTGCCTATGATTGCTTACATCCACTTCATATTTAACTCTGGTTGATAGTTGTCTCATTGACATTTGTACCACATCTCCTTATTGTTAGCTCATCTGGACCAAAGGGCCAGGTGAGCTTTTCTCATCACTTGGCATCCATAGTCCATTGTCATCGTCAGTCGTCGTTAACTTTTACAAAAGTCTTCTCCTCTGAATCTACTGGGCCAAATTTAATAAAACTTGGCCACAATCATCATTGTGGTATCTAAAAATGTGTCCGATGACCCGCCTTGGTTGTTGTTGGTTGACTCCTTATTAGAGTTATTGCCCTTTGATGACGATTTTTAACAATTTTTTGCGTTTTTGCCTTACATCTTAAAAATTATAATAGATAGATAGAAACTTAAATAAGCAAAAAATGATCAGCAAGACAAGATCTACAATTAAGACAATTTGTAGGAAATTGTCCAACAACTCCTTATTGGAGTTATTGCCCCGTTAAAGACGATTTTTACCATTTTTTTTTGTGTTTTGCCTTTTATGATAAAAATTATGATAAATAAATAGACACTTTATATCACATAAATGATCAGCAAGTCAAGATCTACTAACAAGTCAAATTTTGCTGATATAATTAGTAGACTGTCACTCTTTATAGTAGTGATTGCCCTTAATTGAGGATTTTTTCCCCTCTTTTGTGTTTTGAGCAAAAACTAAAGAAAATAGAGAGAAACTAAACAGACTAACTGATCAGTAATACTAGATTAACAAAACAGAGATTTTTGTCATTAATTCTATTCTTGTCTACAATGTTGGAGAGTTCCTTTGTTAAATATGCACATAGACCAAGGTCAGCGACACAGGCTCTTAAGAGCCTCTAGTTATATTTCTATCTGTTCAAAGATATGAACATTAAAAATACACATAATGGAGTAAATGTGAATTTGTGGTTGGGTAGGTACAAACATTCATTCATCATGTTACCATGTTGTCAACAGAACTTATTTACAGATTTGTGAAAAACTTTATAAAAAAATAAGTCTACATGTACATCTGACCTTGACCTCATGTTCATGGTTTATTTGGGAATGTAAAGTTTTCGTGGTTAGGTCTGTTTCTCAGATTATGTAAGCAACATTTTAAGTATATTCGGTTTATTAAATGATTGTTTAGTATACATGTCCATATAGCAGGGCTCATCTGACCTTGACTCACTGGTAATTTACATCATAACATGGAAGTATTATATTGACTTCCATGATCATAATAATGTTAACTTTATGTGATACTTGTATAGATGTCTGTGTATTGTTTGAGAATGCCTAGACATATGTATTTTGGTTAAATAGTTACTTTTGTAGCCTTGATTCAAACTTAAGATTAATAAATTAAAGTTCAACCCCTAGAAATACTAGTTAAAAAATAGCAGACAGTATTTTATCTTTTTCGATTAAGTCTATAAGTAAACAAAAACAAAAGCAAAAACCAATTAAAGGAAAATTCATAAACTTGTTAGCTTTATAAAAAAATCACAATAAATAAAGGGGAGTTTTTTTTTTTTTTGTAAGAAATCAATAGCATCCTCAATCTGACAAAATGCAGGAAAAATTTTAAGGAAAACCACCAAAACCAAACATATTTGATCAATTCATATGGTCAGTTAATTGATGGATAAACATGTCAAAATTAGAAGATGTGGTATGATTGCCAATGAAACAACTCTCCACTAGTGACCAAATGACATAGAAGTTAAAAACTATAGGTCAACATACAGCCTTCAACAATGAGCAAAACTCTTAGTGCATAGCAACCTATAAAAGGCCCTGAAATGACAAAAATAAAATGTAAAACAATGCCTGCCATATAATATAACCTTTTTCTATTTACACCTATGATTTTCATCTTTTTAACACTTCATGACTTTTTATTAGCGAGGTATGAAGAAGTCTAAAACCTGTTTATAGTATGGTGATGTCAGGCAGGTCCTACAGCTTTCAACCTTGATCTCTGAAACTTCACAGGAAGATTGCACATATTTTTTTTTTATAATGAATTTTCTTTATTGTAACAAATAGACTAGCACAACATGTATGAACAAAGGTATAAAGAATGACATATTCACACAAAGGAAGTATTAAATAATTAAACAACAATTGAATATATGATGGTGCAACAATAGGTTGAAAATAAATAATTTTCTTATAACATTGGAATCTTATTTGTTCTTGATATATCTATTAGTGGTGTTTCAATCAAAATTCGACATTTATTATTTATTCTATAATAGGGGCCCAGGGACTCCAGTATTTGTTATATTCATCTACAGAGAGGTTCTTAAATGAAATGTATTTTTCTAAGTTCAAGTGTTCCTTTAAATAGTTTTTTAAAGCATTTAAATTTGGCAAAACTTCTTGTAATTTTGATCAGTAAATATAGTATTTTGAAAGCAGAATAATCTTATTTTTAACAAAATTCAATTTAACATTTTCGTAGATACCAAATAGAATAATCATTATATTCAAAGGCATTTCAATATTTGTCATTTCAAAAATCCAGATGTTTAGTGCATGCCAGAGACTGGCGACCATCGGACAGCTCCAAAATACATGTTCTATGGTCTCTTGTCCTTCTTTGCAAAATGTACATATGTTGCTACTATTTATTTTCATCTTGTAAAGTAGTGAATTAGTTCCTAAAATTCTATGTATAAAATTCTATATTGGAACCAGAAAAGCTTAGTGCTTCTAGTATATTTTGTACACGAAGTGTGTATTTTTTTCCAGTTAATACCAGTCATATTAAGATGGTTCTCCCATTTTTCCTTTGCAGCAAAAGTAATATATTTCTCATTCAATATTTTGTACATGTCCTTTGAACCTTTTTTTGATTCAAAGAAGATACTTATGTTAAAAGGTAGTATTGCTTGAATATTTTTCTCCTTTACTTCAATATTGATCGTGTTTAACCACTCATTAAGCGAGTGTGCTATTCCATAATAATGTAAAATATTTGGCCTAAATTGATATAATTGTTGGAAATTTTGAAATGACATAACTTTGCCCTGATAATCTAACAAATCATGTACTGTCCAAATTCCAGCCTTTGCCCAGTTTTTATAGTAGACTCTTGAACCACCAATTTTAATGTTTTCTACCTCCTATAAAGAATAAGATAGAATTTCATCAATACATCTTGGTTTTCTAATTTGATTAAGGGTTTTCCAAGCATCAAAAACCTCTTGCCAAAATTTATTTGATGACCTTTTAATACGCCCAATATAACTTAGTTCACTAAAATTTATTTGCTCCACAATAGAGACTAATCTCACCCACTTTGAATTCGAATTATACAGCTGTCTTACCCATGTAAGTTTCAGTCCCTTTATAAATGCTTTTAAATTTAGCATTTTTAAACCACCCATATAATAATCCTGACATAAAAGATCTTGCTTGACCTTATCAGTTTTATTATCCCAGATAAAAGCATACATTTTATTTGTTAAATTACATAACATATTCTCATCTGGACTAGGGATAGATAGAAACAGATGATTTAATTTAGATATGACCAAAGTTTTTAAAATGGTAATCTTTCCAAAGGGGGTGAGATACTGTTTTGACCATTTTTTCAAAGTGTTGTCTATATTATCTAAAACTGGCCTATAATTTAAATTAATCATTCTATCTAGGTCGACTGAAAAAGTAATTCCAAGGAGCTTAAATGTACTGGAGCCCCATTTCAATCCCCAATTTACACAAATTTGATCCTGGCTATGTTTTTTGCTACCTATCCAAATAACACTTGTTTTTTCTATATTAATCTTAAGTCCCGAGATTTCAGCATACAATTGGAGAACACGAAGAGATGCATCGAGCGATTCTGGCGAGCCATCTAATATCAATGATGTATCATCTGCATATTGAGAAAGTACAAATTCTGTATCATCTATAGTAATACCCTTTATCTCCTTACTATTTCTTACCAAAATGCCTAATATTTCTGCATATAGCAAGAAAATATAAGGGGATAAAGGATCTCCCTGTCTACAGCCTCTCTCTACAGTGAAGAATTCTGACAGAAAACAGTTTTGTGTCACTGCAGCTGTTATATTGTCATAGAAGGTTTTAACCCAGGATATAACTGATTCCCCAAAATTAAAATATCTTAATGTATCATAAAGAAAGGACCAAGAAATGGAATCGAATGCCTTCTCAAAATCAATCAGCAAGAGAATTCCTGGGATATTATTTTCTTCAGTAAAATGTAGAATATCATATATTAATCGACAATTTTCGCCTATATATCTACCTGGAATAAAACCAGTTTGATCAGAACTTATTAATTTTGACAAAACAGATTTTATTCTCTCTGCTATACAGCTTGATGCCAATTTATATGTAGAATTTAGAAGAGTAATAGGTCTCCAATTTTTAGGCAGTTAAGCTGCCTTATGCGAGCACCCTAGATTTGTGGTCTACCCAATAAATGCTGAAATACGTGCCATTGTTATTATCTAGCTGGCTATTATGTTATTTATAACTAATTGAACACTTTTTTCATACTTTTAATTCTGGATTACAAAAAATATGACCAGAAAAACCTTAAATGATCGTCGAACCACCCAAAAGTTTTGAAGTTGCACATATGAAGTAGTGCTCATTAGGAATCCTTATGTAGTTTATTATCCCCTGTGCTTTTGGCTAAGATGTCAAAGAACAATTGT